CTGGACACGTGTCCCATGCTTTTGCCGCAGGCTTAATGGTGCCGTGATCAAAGGCTTCGAGGAGGACGTCGGGACCAAGATTTCTTTCTACGGCTTCACGGTGAACACCATGAAGAACTCCCTCATTGCCTATGAGGAGTACGGCTTCACCCAGATACCCCAGGCCAAGGTGAGACCCCGAGGGCTTGCTGAAAAGGTGACCCCAAATTGTCCTTTGAGGCTGGGTTTGCCCCCAACTTCTCCCCATCTCAGGAGCCCTCAGGCTTCTCTGCGCTGGTGTGAGCAGTTCCCCAAAGCTCCCCCCCCAAGTGCCATGTCTGTGTCCCCACGGCAGGACTTGAGGTACATCTTCATCCCCTCGGATTTCCGTGACTACGTCATGCTGAAGTCAGCCATCCAGGGCAGCTCAGTCCCCGAGGGCTCAGACAAGGGGGACGAGTGAGTAGCACCCCAAAATTCCCCCAGCGCCTTTGGTGATGCACTAGAGGGCATGTGGCTTGCCTGCCCTCACTCCACATCTGTCCCTGGTGGGATAAACCCCAAGTAGCTCCAGGACTCCCATGACGCGAATTCTGCCCTTCTCCTCACCCCTCTGCAGCCCACAGAAGTATTTTGGACCAGAGGCATCTGCAGAGAAGTTCAAGCTGCTGCACCCAGATTTCTTGCAGTACCTGACATCGAGGTGAGAATGACAAGGACCATGTCTGCTGCCCAGCTCTGCTCCAGGCTGGGCTCAGACCACCTGTGTCCTGCCATTGCTCTTTCCAGTACAGACCAGTGGCTGCCCAGCATCAAAGTGCAGTCCCAGTCCTCCCCAGGCACTGGAACTCCCTCTGCAGACAAGGCAGAGGTATCTCTCACCTGCTGTTCCTATTCACTGCAGCACCTTGCCTCCCATTTCCCAAAATAAATTAAATTTTAACCTAGCCTAACAGGAACAAAGGTAAGGCCCAAAGGGATTGTCTTTTCAACTTTTCATGAAAGCTGGTCCTGGACTGGGGTGATTTCAAACAGTGGTGAGGTGCCTTTTAGCAACCTGAAGCAAATGAGCTGAACCGCAGTAGCAGCCATTGGAGAATCCACGTTTCACTTGGTGCTCCTGCCTTACCAGGCTCTGGCATCACCAAGCACACGGTGGGGTCTGGACAGGCGCTGGGTGCTGCTGGGTCTGGCGCTGGGGGCTGTGGTGCTGTGCCAGCCGTGAGCCCCCCCCAACCCACTGTGCCACCGGCAGGTTCCTGCGGTCGGAGCTGCTGAACACGCAGTACGGGTCGCTCTACATGCCCAGCACCGGCGCCCTCATGCTCCTCACTGCACTCCACACCTGCGACCAGGTAGGAGGCCGCAGGGCCACCTTCCCTCCGGGGATGAGGGCATCCTCCCCCTTTGGCTGCTGTAAGGCTCCTGGTGGAGACCAGCGTGGCCGGTGGCTGTCCTGCATGTGCCACCCCCCGTACCCAAGGTGGAGCCCTGACCCTGTCCTTTGTCTGTCTGTCCCACCTCCCTCCCTGCAGGTCAGCGCCTACGGGTTCATCACTGCCAACTACGAGCAGTTCTCAGACCACTACTACGAGTTGGAGAAGAAACCACTGGTGTTTTATGCCAACCATGACATGATGCTGGAGGCAGCACTGTGGAGGAGCCTGCACCGAGCAGGGATCATGACCCTCTACCAGCGGTGAGGCCGGGCTGTTGCCCACGGGGGCAAGTCCAAGGACTCCTGTGGCTCTTCTCCTCTTTCCTGAAGGCCACCTTCTCCTTCCCGAGGGCTCTCCCCAGCTGGCCAGCCCAAGGAGCAGACCCACTGCACTGCAGCTGGCGGTGGTGTGATGGTAAGGGGTGAGCCAAAGCTGGTAGAGAAATGCTGCATTTCCTCGAGGATCTCCGGCAATGTTTCATGGCTCAGTGTGATTGAACATGGCCTTTGGGGCACCAAGAAGCACCACGGCATGTGGCTGTGACCTCCCGGCCCCACAAACGTGGCTGTGGGGCAGCAGTGGCTGCTGTGAAGCACTGGAGGGGCTGGGTGATGCTGGAGCTGTGTACATGTGGCAGCCTCTGGCTGGAAAACGCCCTTCACCTTGTTGTCACCCACCAGTGCCAACGCTCAGTACCATGCTGGGAGCACAGCAGGCACGGTGAACCCTTGGGCTGGAGACTACATCACCCAGCTAGCAGGAGGGGGCTGTGCTTGGAGAACACCTCCCTCCCTCACTGCAGAAAGCCCAAACTCCAGCCAGCTCTGGGTTGGCGTGTGCCGCTTCCAGAAGGATCCGTTTGCCTCCAGGATCAGTGAGAAAGACAGCAGCTTGCTGCCCTCCCCCATGACTCTCTGTCATGATGTTTTCACAGAATCACAGAATCATTCAGGTTGGAAAAGCCCCTTGGGATCATCGAGTCCAACCCTCACCCCTACTCTACACAGTTCTCCCCTACCCCACATCCCCCCACAGCTCATCCAAACGACCCTTAAACACCCCCAGGGATGGTGACTCCACCCCTCCCTGGGCAGCCTATTCCACACTCTGACCACTCTTTCTGGGAAAATTTTCCTAATGTCCAGCCTAAACCTCCCCTGTTGCAGTTTAAAGCCGCTCCCTCTTGTTCTGTCACTAATCCCCTGTGAGAAGAGACCAGCACCAACCTCTCTGCAATGTCCTTTCAGGTCGTTGTAGAGAGTGATGAGGTCTCCCCTCAGCCTTCTCCTCCTCAAACTGAACCGTCCCAGCTCCCTCAGTCACTCCTCACAGGATTTATTCTCCAGGCCCTTCACCCGCTTCGTTGCCCTCCTCTGCACTCACTCCAGCACCTCGAGAGCTCTCTGGTATTGAGGTGCTCAAACCTGGACACAACAGTCCAGGTGTGGCCTCACCAAGTGCAGAGTAGAGAGGGAATATCACCTCCCCACTTCTGCTGGTCACACTGTTTTCAAACAAGGAAGATCTTAAAAGGCATCAGCTAAGAGTAGGGTTACTGCAGCTCAGCAGGGGTGTCAGAAGTGTGAGCGGCCTCTGAGCATCCTGGAGATGAGAGTGCTGCAGTGCCTGTGTGTGGTCATGGGTTGGTTGGGTTTTTCTTGCATGGAGACCATGTCCTGTGCATGCTTTGGGAAGGCAACCCCATGCCAGGTGGGTCAGCAACCTGCCAGCTCCTGGGGGACTCTTAAGTGATCATCAGTCTTTTTTTTCCTCCCCCAAAAAATCCAAGGGAGGTGAAGGTCTTGAACCCCTCAGCTGCCCCCTGTAAGCCAGCACTGCTCTGGAACACCCACTGGGGAGGCTGCTGCAGCTGGTGGCAGCCAGAGAGTTGATCCGGCACAACAGTGTAATCAGAGACACCTTCCCACTTTGTGTAATTACATAAATGTTGAATGATCGTTTTCTTTTATGCCCGTTTCTGTTGTTTTGTTGAACTGGGCGGGGACGAGACCCCCTACCTCCTGCAGCAGAGGAGCTGTAGCACACAGCAGTAAGACTCCCACTGGGAAACAGCCCCAGAGGGATGGGATGGGAGGAGGGTTAAACCGAGGAGACCTGGGCTGCAGCTGGGGAGCAGCTCTGAGCGCAGCCTTGTTCCACCTGGGATGACATTTGGTGAACGTCAGATGGGGAGGAGCAATTTACTGCGGAGACAAGATACCCCGGCCATGGGCCAGGGAACCTCCAACTCCCTCAAGCTCACAGCAGGCTCCTCCTAGCATTACAAAAGGTTGGTCTGTAAACCCGTTCTGTTCCAGATGTAATCTCCAGCATGGAGCCCATCATGTGTTCCAGGTCTCAAATTAACATTTGTTTGCATCAGATCCACCTTACAATGGTACAAGGCAGCCTGTTAGGCCTGTTTTTTATTCACATGCGCTCAGCAAAATCTCTTTCATGACAAGAACAATCCTGATCCTCACATCACCTGACCAAAACAGCACCAAAACCTCCTCTAACCAGCTCTGGCCGAGCCTCAGCACAGCCCACACAGGTGACCTTGAACATGTCAGTCAGCAGCACCTCGACACAGAGGGCAAAAGGAAAAGGATTTAAAACCGAGTGCTGTCACAGGGCGGCATCCTGCCAGGAATCCCATCCAGCTCCTGGGCAGAGCTGTTTGTGCCCATCGGGCACTACCACGCCCACCCTCCATTCGTTTCAAAAAGGGAGGTTTTCTAGCCTTGGTGGAGCCCAGCCCTGCAGTTAAACACACTCCATTTCAAGGGCTTATCAGACAAGGAACCTGATGGTTGCAATACTACCTCTCTCTTCTCCCTTTGAACTTTTAAGTTGACCACAAGAACCTTCTCTGGCACCGGTCCTAGCTTAGCCATAAGCAGTTTTGTCAGTCACCATGAATTGCTTTTCTTCAGCTTTCAGTCTCTGCAGACACTGAAGTCTTTAGGTATCAGGGAGGAGCAGGTTTTGCTATGAAGGGTAAGCTCACAACTGCCTGCATTTCAGAAAGTGTTTTAACCCCAAATCCTTTCTACCTGCTCAAAATAATTTCTGTTCAAATAGATAACTTCTACAAAACTAACAAAAAAAACCCAACTTCAACTCCCAATATTTTACATAAATTATTTTATTCTGGAACAGAAGACTGCAGGGAACCACTTTTTCCTCCAGCCAGCTGTAGACCAGGTCCTAAAAAAAAAAAAGACAGTGTCAGAGCAAAGCAACTGTCAGCTGAAAAGTTCTTGATTTGTACTATTTAAACAAGAGTACAGGTCTCAAGAGACAAACTCTTGCTTCCCACAAGCCACTGGCACTAGTACCCACATCCTCTTTGGTTTTACTGGAACTTACCCAGGATGCAGCTGCAGCTGCAGCCACCACCGAGCAGCGAGGAGGAGCCTACGGTTACACACATGTGGCCACTTTACAGGGTTGCAAATGGCCCATGGGTGGCTATTCGCAAGACTCATTCCCAAACAATCTTCCTTGGCTTCTAGAGTTGGGAAGACACCACAAAGCAACACTGTAACTGCTTTCCTAAAAAAGTCGGTTCTGAAACAATTCCTGCCCCCCTCTATTCTCAAAGCACCGAGCAGCTTTCACTTTTCCTATTTATCATCAGGCTGCCCCTTCACTTTTTTCGCTTTATTCCTTGGAAGCCAAAAGCCCCACGTGCTCTCCCCAGTGACTGGAACACAGCAGTACTGACAGAGCAACGCATCTGGCTGCTGCTTTGTAGTACCACTTCCTCCCCTTCTGCATACCAACCTTGATTTCTTAAGAAGTCCACTGTCATCAAGTTTGCCAGTTCAGCCTGTCAGCGAATGTTTATTGATCTTCTGCAAACAAATACAAATCCTGTTAAATAAAGCATGAAATTATTTAGCAGAATGCAGCTGTCAGCTAACTCGAGACAAAGTGCTGCTGCAGCCTGTGTATTCAATGACTGTATATCAGGTCAGATAAAAAGGCATTTTGTATCTGCCCTTCAACCTGCAGCTGTGCCTCACTGTTTGGATCAGCAACTTAAAAGCTCTTTACAGATCTAAATGGTACTATGACAAGAGCAGGCAGCACTTACAGCCCCTGTATCTGGGCTCTGGAGAGCTGGTGGCCACACAGCCAGTGGCACTGGGCTTGTGCTCCAGTCACTCATTGCAAGGGCAGGAGGAAAGGGGAGACATTGCTTCTGCCCTCCTGGTGCCACTTGTGTCACCAGAGTCTTTGCAAGGCACAGGAGACCCGCTAAGGGCAATATATAAGCCTCAGTGTACAGTTGTACCTCACAGCTGAGTTGTCAGACAGGGATAACAGCACATCACAGGCTCAGTTTCTCTCCTGCTCTTGGCTATATAAACTCAAGTTCTACAAAATTACATACAGCAAAGACACCCAGATGCCAACATGCTGATGACCAGCGTTCTTCCTGATTACGTATTTTTCCTGGTAAGCATTCAAAGACTAGATATTCTGCTCAGCAGATGAGTCATGCAGCATACAGATCTGACATATAATTAATAAATTAAAAATGAACAGCATGCAATACTTAAGCATTCTCTTACCAGCTTGAAGCCCAGCTCAGCAGCTGCCCTCTTGCCAAAGCTGTCTTCAGGCAACAGTACAACCCCAGAATCTGCAGGACAACTTCCTCCAAAATACAAGTTGTATTGAACACTGTTAGCAACAAATAAAGTTAGTCCTCCACTCATTTCTTCTCCACCCCTTCTGAAAAAAACAGCACTGGAACACAGAGCAAGAATGAGACAGGAAGTTTTCAATTCAGAGGCAGGCAAATTTGTCTCACAAACTTAGCACAGCAGAAACCTGTCCCTTGGGGACAAAGAGTCATGTCTGCGTGTGAGTTGTCTCACTAAAAGACAAGAAACTTTGGGAGGTGGATGCTATTTAAATCCTTGCTTACAAAAAACCCACCAGCTTTTGAACCCTTTTTAGCCGTTTGAAGCAGACACCCTCCTCATCATCATACAGAAACATCTCAGTCCAACTCCCTCCTTGCACACAAGAATAATCCATTCATCCAGGATGTAAATTGTCTATAGGCTTATCTTGAGAAATGCATTCAAACAGACCTAAAACAAACACCTCCCTTCTGGGGAAGGATTCAGGGTGTGTCTTTTCTAGGATGACCCTGTGGTGTACATGAACTGCACCTCCCCACCCTCAGCAACCTGATCCAAGTTTGCAATTGCCCCAGTGCACCTCCAGCAGGCAAACAGAACAATTATTCTTTCACTAGGTCTATTTCTGTGACAAATACAGTTATGAGATGGGCTGTGTCAAGTGTCTCCATAATGGGCTGTCATCCAATCCCTCCAACTTCTAATCCTGCTCATCTCTGACCATGCTGACAAGCAGGTACTCTTCTGGGCACCAACAACAGTAAATTTCCCATTCATTTTGTGCTGCCTTTCAACTTGTGCTCCATGGCAGCAAAGGGCTGCACACTCAGGTGGCAGCTGCAACAAAGCTACAGCCTTGATTGGCTTAATTACATTAATCAAGCCATTAGGCTTTTATATTTCCTCCCAGTAACCTCAGGAGGGTATCATCTGACACAGCAGAATGACTTTTATTTCCACAGCTCAGTAAGAGGTGACAAAACTAGACTATGACAAGAGAGATGCTGTTGTTTCTCACCACTGTGCAGCTGGTGCAGGTTTCCTGTCAGTCTGGTGAAGTAATCGGCTTCCCCTGGCAGGTGAGTGTTTTCACCCTCATTTGACACCACGCCGTGCCCTGAAACAGAAAGAGGACAGAGTGTCAGTTCACGTAACAGATTCTTCTTTTACCTTTGTGTCTTTAGTGCTGAGCCTCAGAGTTGTGCTTCCACAGGGGAAAGATCCAATTTCAGACAGGGATAACCTTATCATCACTAGCTCAGCTTCCAGAGCAGCCAAGCCTGGGCCAGGCGGAGCCATCCCTACAACTGAAGGTTGTTCCTGCCTCCGGGGCCAGCGTGCTCCTCACCCGGGCAGTAACGGCACCCGCGGGGCAGGACTCGCCCCACGGACCTGTCTCTGCGTGGGTACTCGCTCGAGGGGACGGGTAATGCGGGCTCAGCCCGGCAGAGCGCTCGGAGAAGCCCCGGCACCGCGGTGATGGCAACGCTCAGGCTGAGCTACGGCAGCTGCTCTATTAAACACCCTCCCCCTGGTGCTTCTGGGGAAGAACGGCTACAAGCCCAGACGAAACCAGGCCAGGCCGTGCTGCCAGGCGCACCCCCCGCACGGAGAGGGCCGCAGCCCCGTCCAGGCGGCGCGCAGGAACCTCGGGGCCCGGCGCGGCCCGGCCCTGCCTCCCGCCATGGCGGAAGGGGGCAATATTACGTCCCTACAGGCAGATATCGAGGACTCGCCGCGGCGCGCAGGAGCTGTCTCTTATACACA